CAAGTTCTTTGAGCTAAAATATCCGCCTTTCTCAGTTCTAATCTATTGTAGCATACCTGGTCTTTATTTATCCAAATTTCCCATTGTGCCACTGTTCTTGTCCATCCGTTTACAAGCTCAGGGCTCGGCACAAGGTGTCTAGTTGAAAAAGCAAAAAACAAATTCCCCTTGAGTTTCCCTGAATTTCACGAAGTACCCTTTGACCCTTAACCAATAAAAAAAATTTCCAAAAAAACTCCAATTTCCAAATTGTCGACCAAAAAAGTCGCTTTTCGTCCCAAAAACGATATCCAGCTGCTCTACAAGCCACCTGTGCTGCCAGTAGAAGCTCTTTGGCTGGTCATTCAAAAAATTTTCCCTCCCTGTATTGAAACAATGGCAGTACGAGCCAGTATGCGTGGGATTATTTTCTTCTACTAAACGGTATCAAGATGTGGTTAATTGATTCAACACTAAAATTGCCTTTTAAAGATGGCCCCTACAAAAGCAGCAAATCTACTTCTTTCAAAAATCCTTCGCGTAACTTCAAAATACAAAAAGATCGATAGAACAAGTCGCATGCTTAGTTATACCGTGTCGTTAACAGCGTAATCTATCTCGCTGTAACTATCACATTAACTCGCATAGTGCCTCTCTGAGAAATCTCAAATTCAAGCTGATTTTGAAAGCTGAGTGTTTAAACATGGGACCTTAGATTTAGCCTAACAGCATGCAGCTAGCATTATCATATCCTACATTCAAAAGTTTCTTCTTTTTTATTGCTGCGACGCGGTTGAGTTATATACCTTCTGTCAATTTGCACCAACAGATAAACGAGTAAGTATATGCGCTCAGCTAAAGTGACGAAATAACTGCGCGTTTTGAATAAGCCTCTAATCTAAACGTAGATGTTACGACGCTTGTGATGGAGAATCAATCTCTCAGCTTTGCTGCAGATGCACTTTCACGAGCACTCATTTCGGACATAACCAGCTTGGTCCTAAGAAGATTGCCGTCAAATGTTTTATTTAGCCGCTATTCGAGCTTTGTGATCTGTTTCAAAAGCGAGAAAGGTTGCAAAACAAGGAAGGGGGAAGGGGGGAGAAAAAGGGGGGGGGGGCTTCACATAGATTTGGATATTTGAGAAGGGCGGTGGTGTTGCGTATGCGTAAAATTATATTGATGGCTGTTTTGCTGCATGTGGCAAGCCTTGGCCATTACCGTAATGATTGTTACACTAGGCTTGAAAAAGTCGTACAAGTGCAGGAGTAAAACGCGCAAGAATGCTTTGCCAGCGTCATCACTGCAATTAAAAAATCTGTGCTCATTTTTCAATATTGATTTTTGAGTTTGCTTTGCGAAGAAGGCAAATAGCAGAGCGGAAAAGAGCAAATGTATTGAGTATTCTTCATTATTAAGTTCACTAAAATGATGAAGAACAAATGGAAATGGAAACTTATTTTGAGATGTACATAAAGCTGCAAGTCTACTGAAAAAAGTTAGTGGGTGATCTTGGCAATTGACAATAATGACATAGTGAGGCTACCGTATCACATTAAAAATCGAAAATTACTGTACCTCTCCCAGCTGTTCTTTATATGTCTCGACTGCTCTTTTGGCAATATCAGGCTTCGTTAGTTTGTCACTGGAAGGAAAAAAGCAATGGGTGGAAGTACATGGGCAACAAAAGGAAAACTCACCAATACAGAACAACTGAACAGTTTAAAGGTTCGGGGGACTCAAAGCAACCCAAGGCATCTCTTTCCAAGTTAAGATCTTTGAACTGAAATAGTGTGTTTTGGTACTGAAAACGAGCCATGTATTGCTACATTTGTTCAAGATAGCAATCTTCATCCTAGGTATAAAAGCAGAAATAATTACGCCAGTATAACCTACTGAAGGGAACCTTCTGTGCACTGTCACTACTAGGTAATGGTGAAACGCATCTCTGAGATTCCGATTTCCTAATACAGTCGGTGTTTTATTTCCTATGTTGCAAAAATGTATTGGTTTCCCCGATCCCTCCGAGAGTTCCTCCGAGTTTTCCTGCTCGAGTTTATCCAGAAGTTTTTTACATTCTTCCGAGCTCAGCGCAGTTGATTTCTCCGTGCTCTTCAACACAGGTAAAAACTGTAAGTACTTAAGTAATGCTACCAGAGCAAAATCTTATTCATTTTAAAAAAATTTTACCACAAGAACCGCGAGCCATTGCCGCAGCATTACGAATAATGTGTATGAGTGTAAACGTTTTTATACTCGAATGAGATGTTGCATATCCTTCTTGAGCAAAAGCAGGCTTGAATGCCATCGAATTTTAGCGAGAACTGCTGTGCCTGTCAGTACATTCATTAGGATACATGTACTTGACCAATATACTCCAATTTTTGTGACATCTAAGCAAAGAGTTGAACGAGGAATCAATAAAATTTCGTTTTAAGCATACTCACATGTTCGCGATAACTCTCCACAACGACTTGCTGGAGAGTATTATTAACTTTCACAAATGTGTACTTGAAAAAAGTTTTATTTTGGGCTGATACATAAGCCTTCCAAAATCGAACATAAATTCTCAACTTTATGAAAATCTTTTACTTTGATGCATGCCATTTAGAGTAGGCCTTGTGCTTTTTATGAGCGCTTAAAATAAAACATAAGTCATATCGCAGTTGTACAAACTGATAAAGAGAACACAAAAAAATGCGTTTTGTTTTTCGCTTGTTGAAACTACCAGAAAGTTTATCGAATTTTCATTTCATTTATACTTCGATTTATGACATGCTTTTTATTTGCAAGAAATTCGTGCCGATCACACGTCTTTATTAGTTTGTAATATAAGTCTTGAGACACTCTCACTTCTTATGGCGATAATTCATGCAGTTCACATTTTCAATAGGGATCCAGGGCACCATTCGATAGAGCAAATCAAGCAAGATGATCTGCAAAAGTTCGCTTCAACTTCGCCCCGCTTGAGTTTGCATCCAAAATGTGAGTCGAACTGAAGGCTTAGAAAATCGCGAATTCATATCTTCCTTCGAAAAATCCTATGAATTTCTAACTTGCTCGCAAAAATTGCACACTACATGGGGTACTCAATATGTACTGTTCCTGAATTTTTCCTCATGTAGAAATCGAGAAAACAAGAAGTTTTCATGTTCACACAAAAAGAAAGCTATGTGTTTTCGCTCACGCAGTTGTGTACTACAAGCCCTTAGGAGTATAACCGTAGATTTTCATTTTTTTCCAGGCCTTAGTCCTCAAAAATTACCAAATTTAGCTTTGCTTGCGAGTTGGAGATTCGTAGGATTTTTGAACAGATATGAATTTTTGGCGATTTATGGAGCCTTCAGTACGTCTCATGTTTTGGATACAAACTTACAGTAAGTCAAAGCTGCTGCGAGCTTTTTCGCACCTGTAAAGCTTACTTTGCTCTTACGAATGGTGCCCGAAGTTGTAATAAGAATACGTATGATTTATCGCCGTAAGAAGTAAGAGTGTCTCAAGACTTATGCTGCAACTAATATTAGAAGCTATGATTCCCAAATTTCCATATTTTTTCCTCCCAGAAAACTCCAGTATTCACAATAAGAAATCTTTGATTGCTACAAAAAAGTAAATGATGAAATGAAAACGTCTCAACATTTCCAGAAGAAATTTTTTTATCTTATTAGTGCAAATTTATGTGTTAACGTGACGCACAATAAGCTATACAAATTATTCGGAAGCTTTTTTTTGCTTTTTTTTCCGCGCTTTAAATCCTTCCCCAGATTGATTGAAATCGAAGAATTGTGTTCTATGTTGAAGAGGAAATTTCGCGCTCCACTCATATGTTTCAAAGGCTTAATGCCATCAAGAACCCAGTAAGCGGCGTTCCGAATGCTCAAAAAATTCGCAAGTGGGCTGCGAGAAATTAGTCATCTATTTTTCCGGTGTCCGCCTGCCCCCCGGAGATTGTCTGAGTAGTGGTTAAGAATGCCTCAGCTTGTATTTTAATGTTCATATATTCAAAACAGTGGAAAGTGCATAAGCTATCTGACTCTTCCCGTGAGTCACTATCTCGCATTGGCAAAAATCAATAGATCGCGTAAACATGTAGACTTTGTTGCAACTGATCATCCAAAATAACAATGCGTGATTAGTTTAATGTTACCGTTTCATGAATCATTGTTTATAGCTCAGTAATGATTTGAAATGAACTAATAGCTTTCTTAGTAACTTTTTTATGACTTCTGTAAAGTTGATTTGTCATTTATTCTGCTTATGAGTGGAGTTCGCTGTCATTTTTTAGCCTGAGTTGCTACTGCTTGTTTTGGGGAACTTCTAAGGAGAGTACTTGAGCTTCTATGTTTATGTATTGTACTTTCGCCTTTGTTGTTGAATAAAAGCGAAAATCACTCGTTTATTGGTCCTGATACATGTCATGCAGTTCAGTACGTTTGGCGCTGAGTCATCCTCTGACTTTTCGTAAAAAAAAATCGATAAAGATGCCAACGTGCCAACATTTCGTACGATTTGCTTTCTTTTATGAGTCACCATCAACAAGAGAGTAGCTGAGACAGTATTTCGCTTAGTAAAATCAGCTGCGAGTAAAAATACTACTTTTAGATACACTCCGATCATCAAGAGGCATATCACACGATAAAAATACTACTTTTAGATACACTCCGATCATCAAGAGGCATATCACACGAACTTAATGAAAATGTGTATACTGTTGCTGGTGTGATAAGTCAGGTGTCTTATAAAAAAGGAGGACTAGACAGTTTTAATTAGTTTTGTGTTATTACATGTATATTATAGCAAGTGGTTTCATGAATCTCCGATCCACGTTTTGTGTTATTTTCTTGTATGATTCACTGAGTGTTCTACCTATAGTGCACCAACATTATGTTTGTATGAAGCCAAGGGGCTTATTTGTGCCAAACTAATCTCGGATGTAATAAAATTGACCTATCAGTTCTGGCGTTTTTATTGTATAGTGGGCAAACTAATTGGGTCAATATAACGCTGCTCACGGTACGAACATGCTAGTGGTGCAAGAAAAAACTCTAGGGAAAACTGATCAAAATAGATTGTGGTAAGTTATATTGAGGTTTGTGTGTGTGGAAGAAGATCAGTATATTTTCAGCCTGCACTTACGCAATAAAATCAAGGCGAAATATGCCGAAGCTGGTGCGAAGGAGCCTGAGATACATACAATGAGGCTAAGATCGAAATCGATGGCTAGGAACTGTGAGTACAAGTGAAGTTTTGACGCCAACTCTACATTTTCCTATTCCAGTTTGATCCGGTTATTTTGTCGTTAAGACTAAAGCGGGATTTCACGATTGGCATGGTGCACCTTTTGAGGAGTTGCTAGAATTCAAGCTTCAAAAGGAGTACAAAGTAGGTGTACACGTTTCCAAGTATCATCGTTCATGTAGTGGTTATAAATATTCTTCATATGTTTCAGGAGGGGACTATGCATATAGGAGAAATACAACTTTGTGGTTTGGAGAATAAGAAATATCAAGCGCCCGGTCCTTCTTATAAGCTGCAATAAGTGCTTGAATGGATGTTAAACTTATTCGATGTATTTGTTGGTCAGCTTACTTTTTGTTATTGGGCTGAAAAGCATCACATTTTTGAGTATTCAAACTTTTCATGGTTTTAATTCTGAACATATCTTTTGAGGCATGTTTTCAGCACGCGGCATGAAGCGAAATAAAAAAAACCATCTCAAAATTTAAGAAGAGAAAGGAGTAGTCATTGTTTATTGATATGGTGCAAATCTCAATCGATGATCTGAACTTTGATTTGAACAGTGTTTTAAAATGATCTGTACAATAATTTCTGATTTTCTTTATTTCCTTACTTTCAACCAGGTAATAAAAAGTATTTATTGAGCGAGTGTAGATGTATGAAATGATCATATTCTTGGCTATCATGATTTTGTTGGATATGGATTTATAGTGAAAAATGCCATGGTGCACTATGTGAATTTGTTCTATTTGAAGCTTAATGGCGGAACATGGATTGTGTCATACCTAAGCTTGGTAGATGACTCAAGTTAAGGATTAGACTATCTTGGATAGCACTGACCAGTTGGTCTCAGATTGGCCAGTTGGCCTATGAAGTATGTTTAGAAGAAACATACTTAAAGTAAAGTTCTATGTGAGAATTAGCAGTGAAAGAAACTGGTGTGGAACGCGTTAAGCCGTTGGCGATTTATTGCAAAAACACAATTCCTTCCCCCTGTGCTTATCGGCGTACATGCCGAGGGTTTACTAGGAATAGTTCCATAACAACAGCAAATATATCAAGGTGCGGCGGGTACGCCGCATCCACAGAGACCATATCGACCTACCCTGTAGTGAACGAGCAAGTTCCAATATAGGACGGCTCTACAACAAAAGCCATTACCTGTTACATATGAGTCATGGTCTTAGGTTACCCTCATGAACCTAGACTCAACTGAGAAACATAAATTAATTTATACATCAATGATCCTGTTTCGCCTCTACCCCCAAACAGGTAGCTCGAGTGTACTCGGGCTCATTAACTCTAGGTCGTCCGACTACAGTCGAGTTGAATTACTCTATTATTGTATTAGCTGTATTAGACCATTATCGAGGCTCATCAGTAGGGAGAAGTGGGCTGGAGAAGGAAGAGAGTGATAGCACCGTAACATGGTCGCCTTTTATACCTGTTGGGTAGCTTAAGATCAAGGGCAAGGCAGGAATTCAAATCGTGTTATTTACCATATTGTAAAGGAAATTTTTGACATTTCTCAATTTGCTTAATTGAACGTATTTATATGTAATACATTTGTTGAAAAGTAAAGCATTTGATTATTTCTAGTTGAACTATTTCCTTGTCATAATCTATATATATAAAACTCAAAAATTGTCAGTTTGAAGGGTATGTGCGTTATAGAAACGCGCGCGGCTCAACCGATTCAGCTGAAATTTTGCACACATATGTATTCGACCCCTGCGCAGATGATAGGCTACTTTTTCCGGCGATTCGTTGGGTCCTTCTATCGATTTGTTGGTTTGTTCACGTTTTTCTAAGGAATTGAAGGCTTATCATATTTAATGAAGCATTTTCCCACGGTAATGTAAAGAAGGGCGGTGAAGCTCATTTTCACCAGGATCAAGAGGATGCGGTTTCGAAGCGGATGTTCCAGGGTAAGCCATCCATAACATACAAGAAGGGGTAAGGGGCTTGCAGTACGGGTAACCAATGGCCCGGGCTGGACCGGGAAAGCCAGCTAGTCTGACCTAAGTAATAGTCTGATCAAATCTATAATCCTTTCATGAAAATCCTCGAATTCAGTGCAGGTTCTGTAAATTCTCAACACATAGTTGCACATTTAAGTGCAAAGCCTTTATGTGAAGTTCCATGTAAAAACCTTACAACATCAAAAGCAAAAGCTTCCGTTTTACTGTGATTTATTGTATTGCTTGGTGATGATGACATTATCTCTGATAGAAATGTTTAGGTCCAGAAAATTACAATCATAGAAGTAAATTTAGTAATCTCCATACTCAAACGTTATTATAAACTGGGTTCAATAACGATTTTATGCATTCTTGTGTTTGATCGTAAATAATCAGAATTTCGTCCATGTATCGATATGCATGGAACAGGAAATTATATTTTTGTGTCTTACCTGCAAAAGTGTACTTAAAGTAAGAGAGAGTTAGGTCTGCAATTATAGGGCTAGCATTACCTCCTTGAGGTATTCCAACTATCTGATGAAATATTTGGTGGCCAACTCGGAAGAGGCTATAATGCAGAATATAATCTAAAAGATAAATTAGGTTTTATATTTTATAGTACCTATAGCCGTCAATATCGTCCTGTGTAGAGGTGTATATAATTCTACGATTATTATTGATTTTTTATATCTTTCACAAGCATTTTTGAAACATAGTTCGGTTATTTTTTTAAGGTTGCGAATTACAATATTGTGAGGAATGTTAGTAAACATATTTGTGAAATCAGCAGAGAAGAGTTTTTTGGTTTTTTGCTTCAATGATCCCTAGGTCTGCGGATATGTTTATATCATTTGTCTCTTTTTTGAATGCTCATAGTCGCAGAAGAAGTGGACTTAAGATAGAGATAAGTTTTCAGTAAGCCTGATAATTATTTTATAAACCTTTTAGGGAAATCAGCAATTCTTTATCTGTAAAGGTTTGAAAAGATAGAGTTCCAAGATCTAGAAGTTTTAAGCCTTTTTCTTCACGATATCATTTGGAAACTTCATATTTTCCGTTTCGTTTTCGGAGTGTGAACTAAATTTTCATTGATCTGCATATATCCTTACTTTGGGGAGAGAGGTGGGGGAGGGGGTATGCAAACTCTTTTACATGCTAATTGTTTGAATATAGAACAAGCTGACGAGTAGCCTCCTTTCAATGCCTACAACTTCTGCTACATGGCTAATGAGTGGTCTCTTTTCAGTGCCTATAACTTCTGCTACATGCGTTAAGTTGCAGTCTTGCTCCTCGTCTGCCAATACAACACAATTTTGTTTGAACTTGGTCGCAAAAGAAAGAAAATAAGTTAGGCTAGCAAAGGACTGGGTTTGAAAAAACGTTCGGGTCGACAGGTCGACAGGGCATCAACATCTTGCTTCAATCATATTCGTTTTAACATTGATTTACTTTTGCGATTGAATGGAGAAATAATAGTGATAGAACTTTGGTTTTTGAGTCAGATCCTTGGCGCCAAAAGTCGTGACAAATCCTGCACTTTTAACATCCCTCAATCCACTTCCATTTATTATAATATGGGACATTCTTTCAACAATTGGTAATACGCAAACTTAAGTATATGGCGATAAGTAGACTGTCTAAAACCCCTAATGACTTGCGAGGATACTAGACAATTGCTTGTAAAGCAAGTATGTTTGAAAAACTTCTAATCTCAAAATCAAAACTCTCCTTCTCATCTGGAAGCACTCCTCTAAGAAGAGCCAATTTACTTTGATGAGTTTTTGAGTAACTTTATTAGATAATGAAGTGCGTGCCAAAATTGAGAGCCTTTCATCTCATTTTCATCTTTTAAGCACTTTTGCAAAAGAGGTAGGCAATGTCAACAAAATGAATATTCTACAGAGAATAAAGGAATAGCAACTTTTTCTAGATTGCGCTCTACAGGCAATGACAACTCACACCTGCCGTGCTTAAAGGCAGCGTCATCCAGAATTTTGCTTTTAGTTTTTCAGTCATATGGCTTCCATTTTGATTATGAGGGAATTACGTGAAAGACCTCAAAGCGCCCTTTTCTCATAATCTGTTTTGACAAGTGTAAACAAGTGTTCCAGCGCTATTGCCGCCGTACGCAACAAAAAATGCCGTCGTATGCACGGACACAGTTGCACAATATAACAATACACTCAGTACCCTTGTTTCTCCCATACAGTTGCTCAAGTTGATAATCAACGACCATACCTTCGATATATAGAACCTTGTCTGGTAACCTTCACTTTGAGCGTCATGATAAACACAACCTTCGCCTGGAGAAAAGCTCAGACAATCGACCGGACCCCTCCGCCGGACAGTCGGAATCTGCCAGAGTCGCGCCGGACCCAGTTGACCAATGAGAGCGGGGCAAATGGGCGGTCCCTTCTTGTAGGTCGCGGTGACATCACTGGCAGGAAAGTGGGACGCTTCTCCGGCCCTGCTGCAAAGGTACGCCATTTCTGCTCCGGAGGTACGCCAGTTTGGCAGAGCCGCGCCGGAGAAATTTGCCCGGCGCGAGTCCGCCAGATTTGGAAGAGCCGCGCCGCAGAAAATCGGAGGGGTCCGGAGCACAAATGGGAGGTCTCCGGGGCAGAAAATGGGAGGTCTCCGGAGCAGAAAATGGGAGGTCTCCGGAGCAGGAATGGGAGGTCTCCGGAGCAGAAATGGGAGGGCCCCGGAGCACAAATGGGAGGGCTCCGGAGCAGGCTGCGTATCGATTTGGCGAGCAAACGTCTAACTCCACGGTGATGAGTCCTCTGTTTACGCTCTTTCTTCATATTTTAGTCGTTGTTTCTTTGATTTTGTTGTTTCTCCGCGTTTCTTACCGTTTTTTCCGCATTGCTCTTTGTCGCGTTGGCTTTTATGTTGTTGTAAGTTCCTCGTTTTCAGGTTTAGGTTTCAATTTTTCGTGCGGATGCACTTAGTCACTTCTAGTGCTTGGCTCTTTTCGACTTGGTGAGACATCATTGACTGTTGATGGAGTGGTTTTTGTGATTAATTCTGGATTTTTGAAACAAAAAGTATATAATCCGAGTGAGTCTACTTTTTTGTTTCGCACTTGTTCATGCTTGAGCTCCACGGCGGATTGCGGGTGTATATCAAGAGGCGCGATTTTTATTGTCAGCTGGACACCAAATAGCATATAATAAGTGTTCTGCAACTTTCTAGAAGTATATGAAATATAGAAGAAGATAAACCAGGTAGTTGCATGAGTTGTTCAATCTTGATGTTCTAGAATAAATTCAAAACAGCAATTTTGAAGGTCAAGAACACATGAAAATGTATTTCAGAACAAATTCGTAAATAATTC